CTAGAATCTGCACTATAGCCACCCCAAAGGAAAAGTAATCCCCTTCTGTTTTCCTTCTATAGTCCTACCACCAGACCTGCCCCAGCACCCGCAGGGTATCCCGTGCCAGCTACACAGGTACAACACCATACACATGCACCTAGGCCTCAAACCAGGGTTTGCTTTAATTGTAACCAATTAGGTCATTTCAGGAAAGATTGAAAACACCCCAAAATGCCTACACAACAACAGCTGACCACTAGACTACCTAATCCTGTATTCAACTATCCTATGTACCCCAATGCCCATGAAATCACACATGGTTGCCTCCAGCCAGGTTACCCTCCACAGGTTACCCAGGTTACTTTTTACCCAGACCTGTGTTAGTCACCCAAGCTCGCCTGCTCAGATCCTTGGCCACCATCTCGGGTGGGCGGATCCCGTGACTAGTCTACGTTTAGGGAAGACGCACGAAGATCAATTCCTCGTGGCACATACTTCGTATTACTCTCCTCAGGAATATACTCAAGCTGCCTGTCAGCCACCTCCAGCTGATGATCACCCTCCACACCGCAGCTATGTTCACATTTCCCCTGATAATTATGATACAGATGATTATCAACAAGATGACCGTCCTGTACCCAGTCAACATCGCCCTACACGCCAGACTCAGCAGACCAGTCGCTCCACTGCACCCACATGTCACTACACTGGAACTGATCAATCTCATCTAGACCTCTTACAATAGGTAACTGGCAAACCTGTGTCTAACACCCGTCATGGCAGTGCCTACAGGGGACAAAGGGGGGCCTCTCGCTACAATAGTCCTACCCATAGAGGGTCATCCTACTACCTTTTTAGTTGACACAGGTGAAGCCCGCAGTGTTCTCAGAGAACAAGACCTGCCTGACTCATCTTACCTATCCGACACAGATGTCTCTTGTGTAAGTGTCGATGGTATCCCTAGAAACAACCCATTAACTAAGCTCTTGCGGGTGGGTTCAGACATTCTCTCACGGTTTGTTGTCTCTTCTACTTGTCCAATTAACCTATTAGGTGCTGATGTTCTGTCCCGTCTTCAAGCTTCTATCTCCTTCACCGCTGATGGCCAGGTTCAATTATTAACCCTCCTTTCTAGCAAAGATACTTCTGTTCTTTGCTCTTTGCCCCTACTGTTACACATGACTTCCCCCTCCAAGGAGGTAAGGGTCCCAGATGCCCCCAGTGCCCTGGATAAGGTCCCAACCAAACTTTGGTCTACAGGCCCAGATGACATTGGACGCCTAAGAGTCCCACCTATGGTTGTCACGCTACTAAAGGGAGCTAATCCACAACGAAGACCACAGTACCCATTAAAGCCTGCTCAAGCCCTTGCCATCTCCAAACAAGTTGAAAATCTGTTGGCAAAAGGCGCTCTGGTAAAGTGTGTGTCAGAGTGTAACACCCCTCTATTGCCAGTGAGAAGAAGACTGAAAAATGCCAACCTGACCAAAACCGTATGGTTCAAGACCTCCGCGCTGTTAATGATGTCACCAACCAAGACACTGATGTTGTCCCGAATCCACATACACTGTTGTCACAAGTCCCTCCAACAGCTAAATTCTTCACTGTGGTTGATATTGCAAACGCCTTTTTCAGCGTGCCCTTGGATCCCTCTTGCCAATATCTGTTTGCTTTCACACATGATCGCCAACAGTACACTTGGACTGTCATGCCTCAAGGTGCACAAAATTCCCCTACTCAATTCGCCAAAGCTATGTCAACTGTCTTAGAACCTGGGCAGAAGTCTCACCCTGACGTGGTCCTGCTCTAGTATGTGGATGATCTACTCCTCTGTGCGGATGGTCTTCCAACTGCTGAACAAAATTCTGAAGATCTCCTTTGTTTCCTTGCTGAAGAAGGATGTAAAGCCTCCAGAACGAAACTTCAGTGGTGCCGGTCCTCTGTGGTCTTCTTTGGACATTGCCTTTCCCATGTCACCCGTCACCTAACAAAGAACAGAGTACTTGCTATTACCAATCTCTCTCTCCCGTCTACTCACCAAACTCTTCATGCCTTCTTGGGCCTCATCACATACTGCAGGTCTTGGATCCCTGAGGCTTCTCAGCTCATGCAACCTCTCTATGATGCCTTGAAGACTGGACCATTTTCATTGTCTTTAACAGCTCGCTCCTGCTACTATGCCCTTCAAAGGGCCATCTCCTCTGCCCCAGCTTTGGGCCTACCTAACTATCAGCAACCATTCAAACTTTTTGTCTCTAAAAAGATGGGCCATGCTTCAGGAGTCCTTACACAATCACATGGTTCCCGTCAACGCCCTATTGGTTATTTTTCATGCATGCTGGACCCCGTGGCTCGAGGCGGTCCTTCTTGTTTAAGTGCTGTGTTTGCCGCCATTAGTGGACAAAACTAACGACTTTGTTCTCAGACATAAACTCACTGTCCTTGCTCCCCATGACATCACGGCCATCCTGAATCAAGTCCAACCGAAACATCTCTCCTCCCAGTGACACCTCAGCCTTCAAACCACCCTCCTCTTGCCTGATAACGTCACTCTACGAAGATGTTACTCTTTGAACCCAGCCACTCTTCTGCCACTTCCCAAGGGGGGAGTACCACAATACTGGTACAGTCTAGACATAAATCCTGATGTTCATATGGACCTTCAATTGAAAAAGCCCATGGTTCCACATGACGAACAATCCGAGGGCTATCTACATTGTACCCTGTGGTTCAGGAATACCCCAGGTCCTGACCCATATTATGAAGAAGAATTATTTAGCCTGGTGGAAATACGCATCACCCTGACAGACCTGTTCTGTGACTCCAGAGGAAATAATGTTATCTTGGTCTACCTGCCCATGTAGGTATCATATTTATACCACCACTGGGAGGTGGCAGTTCCTCATATCTCTTTCACCAAATCTCTGAATCTCTCATGGAAAGAACTCAGCCCAATGGCCAAAACATGGAGTACCGCAACTCAAGAGCAGCTCACATTGACGGGGGTCACTAAAAGGACCCTAAATTGCAAAACAGTCGTTTACCCTCGATATCACACAGAGATATGTGAAGACATTCCTCCTACAGAAAAGGACCTGGATGACCCTCATGACTGTTTTGAACAGATGAAAATGGAGACAACCCATCTCCCAACGGTGCACGAGGCTGCTCTGCCAGATCCTGACTTCACCCTGTTTGTGGATGGTTCTAGATTTGCCGACGTACAGGGACAATATCATACCGGATATGCTGTCACCACAGAAGACCGAGTACTCCAAGCATCTTCACTTCCATCATCTAAGTCAGCACAAGAAGCCAAACTAATAGCCCTTAGCGCAGCATATAAGATGTCTGAAGGGAAGCGTGTTAATATCTATACAGACTCAAGGTATGCCCTGGGCATAGCGCATAATTTTGGCTTACTCTGGAAAACAAGGGGGTTTCTTATGGCATCAGGTACTCCGGTGAAACATGGCGCAGCTATCAACGAATTAATGGATGCCTTACTGCTCCCTGAAGAGGTGGCCATATTGAAGGTAAAGGCCCACGGGAGATTGAATTCAGAAGAAGCATGTGGCAATTACTTAGCCGATCAGGCTGCTAAAGATGTGTCATGCCAGTGTCAGGAGGTGGACAGAAGAGAGCCCGTTGAACAGACTCCTATTTACACTATGCAAACCCTACCTACCGATCTCAAGCTCCTGAGAGAACAACAGACCGCTGCCACCCCTCAGGAAAAACAAAGTTGGAAAGATAAAGGGGCAACCCTCCAGAATGAATTGTATCAACCTCAAATTCTGTCTACCCAAGAATATGTACCCAGCTGTCGTTCAGTGGGCCCATGGACCAGCCCATTTATCCAAGCACCTCATGAATTCCCTGATTGATAAATATTTTGAGGCACCCGGAATCACTACTTTGACGAGAAATTACTGCAGATCCTGTACTATCTGCGCCAGATGTAATCCGGCAAAAATAATTAAAGCCGCACCAAACCATTTGGCCAAGCCACAGTACCCTTTCCAAAGGATCCAAATTGATCATATCCAAATGCCAAAAAGTGTCCGGTATGAATATGCACTGGTCATAGTGGATATGTTTTCAGGATGGCCAGAAGCCTTTCCTGTCACTAATCTCACTGCAAAGACCACAGCAAAGCGCCTACTTACTGAAATCATCTGCAGATATGGAGTTCCTGAGGTGAATGAAAGTGACCAGGGAACATCCTTCACCGCGTTGCTAACCAAGGAAATCTGGGCAGCACTGGGGGCAGCACCCTTGCATTCCACACACCCTATCACCCACAGAGTAGTGGTAAGGTAGAACGCATGAATGGCACCTTGAAACCTAGAATGCTTAAGATGGCCCAATAAATTAACCTACCCTGGCCGGAAAGTCTTCCCATAGCACTATTTAGTGTAAGGTACACTCCAAGAGGGAGATTTAGCTTATTCCCCTACGACATTTTATTTGGTACAGCACCCAGGTTAGGCTGTTACTTTCCTCAACAACTTCAAATTCAGTCAGATGCAATGGTAGATTATATAACTGCACTCTCTCATGCCTTGACCAAAATCCATGCACAGGTGTTTTCTTCTATTCCAGATCCAGAATCAAATACAGGCACACATAAACTCCTTCCTGGTGACTGGGTTATGGTCAAGAAATTCCTGAGAAAGCACATTCTTGAGCCAAGGTTTGATGGTCCATTCCAAGTCCTATTGACCACATCTACCTCGGTAAAATTGGCTGGGAAGAATACCTGGATACACGCCTCGCACTGTAAGAAAGTTCCTGATCCAGAG